AAACAGAGAACAGAGGGATGGGGCCAGGATTTGGGTCAGCGGGTGTAGGGAGGTGGGGGTGGCTGTGAAGTGACAGCATGAGGGGTCCCTGTGGTCCAGAATGTTGTCTCTTGACTATTGATGTTGGTATCCTGGTTCAGGATACAGTCCTATAGTTTTGCAGGACACAAAGTTGAGGAAACTGGTAATGGGTACACAGGGTATCTACTACTTCTTACAAATGTATGTGGCTGTACTTGTCTGAAAATATAAACTTTATTGAAAGAAAAGGAAGAAGAGAGGGAGGGAGGGAAGGAGGGTGAACTCCATTGCTAGGACACAGGCACAGGCACTGGATCTTGGTGCCTCCACCACACCCAGCAAAGGACTCAGCACTGCCAGTTTCTGCTTTCACTACCTGCATCCACAGGTGGGCCAAGTGAACAGAGAAAGAATACACACCCAAGACCTCCTGACCTGATGGCTGATGTTCTAGGAAAGCACTGGTACAACAACAAATTTAAATTGTTTATGTTTCCAAAGTAAAAATATAATATGCCCTAATTTGGTTTTTCTGCAATGTTAGTGAATGAAAATGTCTACATTACTATTTACTTATGATCAAATCTAATTTCTCTTCCCCAAAGTGGCAGCTGGCTTGCTACTCTAGATAACAAAGACGATCTCCTGTACTTCTCCACTCCCAGACTTGCTTGGATATTACCCTATTGCAAGAAAATCAGCACTCACAGCCAATGTGAACACAGGCTCCCCGTGCTCTCCGCACTGAGGAAATGAGACTCCCCGCCTCCCTCTCCAACCATGGGGCAAATACACTTTTCAAAAATCACTATTTTCTTTTTTTTGCACCGGGAATTGAACCCAGGACCTCACACATGCTTGGAAAGTGCTCTACCACTTGAGCTACACCCCCAGTCTAGAAATCAGCTTTTGAAGGAAATCATTTTCCCAGAAACTGTTTGTTAAATCTACACAAAAAGTCACTTATCAATCATTTCTAAACTCTGTGCTTTGTTAAATAAATAAAAAATTAATGAAAGTATCTGAGTGGTTGGCGCATCCTAAACATGTGCTCTCCCACTATCATCTCACTGAATCCCTGCAAGTCTCTGCAGTAAGCAGGCTTAGCTCCACTTTACAAATAAGAAAACCAAGGCTAAGAAAGCAGGAGACATTTGCTGGGGGGGTGAGGGGTAGTCGTCATTCCATAATAGGAGCCAGGAAGTAAACATGTCTGTAGTGCCAATGCCTCATCCCCTGTTGGAGGCCCAGTGACGGACACTGAGTTCATAACCCATCAACCTAGAAAGAGCTCAAGAGTGATAGCCGGGTCCTACGCCCCCGCCCCCACCCCCTCCCCTCCACCCTGTACACACTGTTTTTCTACTGCTGCCATAACGGCCACCCCTCTCAGCAGTTTAAGCACACAGAGATGCAGTACCTCACATTTCTTGCAGGTCTGATGCCCAGTGGCTCAGGGTCCAACATGTAGGCCTTGGGTCCCTATGAGGAGGCGCTGAGAGAAATCTGTCTCCAAGTTTGTTCAAGATGTTGACAGAATCCAATTCTGTGTGACTGAAAGACTGAGGTCCTGTTTCCTGACTGGTGTCAGCTCCGTGGAGCCTCACTCCGGTCCTCGCTAGTAAGCCCCTACATCTCAGGGCAAGCAACTGCCCATCGAGTCCTTCCCAGGCTTGGTACCTGATTTCTCCTTCTGCAGCATCTCTCTCCCCCTTCCTTCTTCCAAAACCAGCCACAGTTCCCCAGGGCCCACGTGGACGATCATCTCCCATCCCAGGCTTCATAACCTTAACACATCTGCAAGGTCCCTTTTCTGCATAACATACCACACTCCCAGAGCCTAGGGATTAAGCTGTGGACATCCTTGGGGCCCCTTACTCTGCTTTCCACACCATCACTGAAATGAAAGCAGCCTGACCCAGGTATGCCTCTAGAACATGCTGTATCTTTTAACTTAATCTTTAGGAACAAGATCCATAGCAACTTCATCGCTGATTTTAAAACTGATGACCCTCTCCAGCTGTGGAATAATGAAAAAAATCATCTGGCCCTCAATATGACAGCTAAGTCAAGTTTAGGCCTGTGTGAATAAGCCAGAAGTCTAAACGTGATCCACCAAACCAAGCCCAAGGTGGGGGGGAGAGGGGGGGCTGAAAGAAGCAGCTGGCAAGTGTCACAGGCAGCCCCCAGTGGAATGAATCACCGGAACCCGCCCTTCCTGCCTTTGGAGAGGGATCTACAAATCAGCTGTTTACTCTTTTCTTGATTTTACAAAATAAATAACTCAAGTGTCTCATTTACAAACAATGCTTCTAACAGATCCCAAGTATTCCCAAACAATGAGCTGTGATTCATGTTTCCAAATGAGATGGAGTTTTATCATTTTCTTTCCCCTCGTGATTCATTCATGGGCCAGTTGGCCAGATCCATGGCCCACCCACCAGAGTCCTAGGGGAGAAACACAGCCCTGTTGTTAGGCTCCCCCAAAAAAACTGAGGTTGGTAAGGGGGGCCTGCAGTAATTTTCCCTAAGTAGGAAACAGCCCATCACCTACTGAGAATAGATCCCAGCATCACAGCACCTACAATCTTCCCAATCAATAGCTATTCAGGGAGCCACTAACATCCTCACAGGGCAAATTCCCAGACACCCAGGGAGCCTGGGATGACCTCCATGGGTCAGCACCCCATCTTCCCCCATGCTAATGTACCTCCTTGTTACTTCCACCCAGCTCAGCTGTCTCATCTCCACCTGGTGGATGGAAACACAAGCCCATCCTCTCCTCCACCAGTCATTCACATCTTTGCTAGAATTTACCAGCAAAACCATCCCATATCCATTTCTGCTTTGGAAACTTTAGAATTAGCAAAAGATGTGCTGGTAGAAATTACAACAGAGAGTGTTGGCGAAGCTTTTGGAAGGTGTGTGACTTACCTGGGAAGTCACAGTTAAGCCATACTGACCCATGGCAGATCCCAGACCTGCCTCCTCAGCAGGGAAGCCCTTTCCCCTGCTTGCTGTACCTGGGAACACTCCCTTTGATCTTCTCCACACCATCAAGCCACACTACACAGTGCTCACCAACACCATCCAGCTCACTCCGGAACCCACAGAGGATACCAAGGTCTCTTTCAAAATGTGGGGTCCCAAAGAGAAGCCCTCCCCACCACCACCAATAACCGTAGTACCCGGGGGCAGCTAGAGCACAGGAGTGTGAACCCTCAGCAGTCAGAGCTCTCTCATCCACAACCACTACTAGTGACATAAGCACAGACAAGCAATTTATCTCCCCTGCCATCCTACAGGTGAGCAGGTCCTGGCCAACTCCACAATACAGGCTCAGGTGAGCAGGCCCCCACCAGCCCCACTGTACAGGATGGGGGTGAGTAAGCTCTTGCCAGCGGGAGCTGGAGTTGCTCGCTGCTTCCTTATAGGATCAAGGGTGGGACTGTGCTCCTCTGGGGGAGCCTGTCTCTCTGCTTGCTCCAGCTACTCCATCCATCTCTCGGCTCTCCTGTGCGCAGGCGCGCAACACACACACACACAGAGAGCAGGGACCCCGAATGCTGCCACAATTGCATCCCTCTCAGTTGGAATCTCCACCCCACACCTCCTTGGTTAGATGAAGACTTCCAGGGCTCTTTGATTAGCACGTGCTGACCGTCAGAAATGCACAGCATGCAAGCTACACACTCCCTCCCGTCAGAAAGCCCACCTCTGCAGAGGACCTTCCAGAATGTCTGTGCCTCCATTCCCTCATCTGCAAAGTGGGGGAAAGCCCACCCACAATGCCCCCTTCAACCCCAAATGCAGAATAAGCTGAGTGTGGGCCTTCCCAGGACTGTTTCCATGGCCACCATCACTGACACCAAGCAGAGATAAGTAACTGGGGTTCACAGAAAGGACAGTTTGAGGATGACAGTCACCAGGATGCTGCAAACGTCAAGGGACTGAAAGCAGACCTGCAAAGGGGTAGGTGCTACATCCCTGGAGAAGAGGGGCAGGTGAGAAGGTGCCCGGGAGGTGACACCTGGGGCTGAGGGTCACAAGCTCACAAAAGGCCTCACCAGTCAGGCAGCGTCTAGCCTGGAGTGAGGGGACAGTCAAGGACTCCTTTCCATTGTGGAGGCTGGAAACCAACTAAGAAGACTGAAGATCCCAAAAAGCTGCGAAGCCAGACACTGAACAGGAGACGGCAGGTTGGGAGGAGGCAACCGCAGGCCTTGGCAAGCCAAGATGCCGCCTGGATGATGAGGGGTCCGTTTGTTCTGCCGTTAAGGAAAACCTCGCTCTCCAGAACGTATCCTCCGGTAGAAACGTAAACTTGAAATCCGATGCCCCGCACCACCACCGCCGCCGCCGCCACCCCCCACCCCTTGCCAGGAAACGACAAAGAGGAGCGGCGCAGGGCTGATCTCCAGGCCTGGGGACCACCGGAGCGCGCCGATGCCCCCACCAGACAGGACAGGACCTCCACAGAGCGGGAAAGGGCCATCCGCCAGCCGGGTCGCGCAAGCCCCTTCCCACCTTTGTACTTCTGATCATTGCAACATGAAAGTGTCCATCCGGAGCCCCAGACACACAACTCAAGTTCACCCAAGAAGCAAAAAAAAAAAAAAAAAAAAAGCACTCAAACAATGCCGGCGGGCTGCCCTGCGCGGGCCCAGCAAAGCTGATGGCGGGCCAGAGAGCTCCGCAACCGAGGTGCCGGGACATGGGGACACCCTCGGGAGTGGCACGCCCGCCCCCCAGCCCTGCTAGTTCCCGCGCGCCGGGGGTGAGCGGCACTGCGGCCGGGGAGGTGCGGGGGAGGAGGCGCGCGGGTGGCGATGCCTCTGGCCGGCCGTGGACCCCGCATCCCGCCCGCCCCGCGCGCGACAGCAACAGGCTCCGCGCCGCCCCGCGCCCCGGCCGGCCGCGGCCCGGGGAAGTTGTGCAAGTGGCGGGCGGTGGCGGACAGGGGCGGGCGCGCTGCTCACCCACGCCGTACTTCTCCTCCCTCTTGGTGGGCACCCAGCGCGTCATGGTGCGGCGCGGGGCCGGCGCCGCCGAGAGCCGCCGCCGCCGCTGGTCCGGCCGGGAAGTCCGCGCCTAGGCCGCCATTTTCCATTCCTTTCGAGCCGCGACAGGATGGGGAGGAAAAAGTTTGCGGCGGAGGCGGTGTCATGTGGGACGGGGCGGGCGGAGCGTCGCGGGCCGGATGGGAAAGGCCGGGAGCGCCGGCGGGAGGCGGGACGGCCGCCCGGGCCACCTCGCCGCGCGTCCTCCCGTCTTTATCCGCGGCTCTCCCCGAGTTCGCAGCCCTCCAGGACGGGATCTCAGACCACCAGAGGGGTGCGTCCTCGGGAGTAGTGGGGAGGGGTTCTGTGAGATTTATGCCGCGTGCGGTTTGATGTCATGACCCCAAGTCAGGTTTCTGCCCGGTGGGAGAGGCCTTCCCAAGCACGTGGTTCGTTCATTCATTCGACCAACCTGAAGGGAGAGCCTACTTTCCCAGTGCCAGTGTGCTAGGCGCGCCCGGCGGGCCACCTGGGGACGGGGAAAGTGGTACTGGCAGAGGTGATGTGCAGAGCGCCCACCGCGCGGGCCATTACACAACGCAGCAGCGCGCCCCCATCCCCAAGGCTGGCTCTCTGTTCTGGAGGCGAAGCCCTCCCGGGCTGGGAAGAGATCCGACCCCATAGCCGAGCTCTGGCTTCAGTGCCCAGCGAGCGGAGCTACAGAGAGAGGCCAGGAGGAAGAGGCAGCCGAGCCGGAGACCTCAGGCCCCTGGCGTGCGGGAACTTCTGCTAGATGGTGGACTGCAGCCTGTTGAAGTGGGCGAGAGAGGAAGTGGGCAGAGGTGCAGGCAGGAAAGACGCCCAGGCCGGGCCCAGGGCCCGCAGGGACTTCATCTCCACTCTGAGAGAGGGCGCCCATGCCAGTGAAAGTGCAGGGCTTCACATTTATTTCTTCAAGGAAAAAGTTAACAACACACACACCCATTTACTGTAACTGGAGAAGAGGTTAAAACAAAGCAAGGGAGGAGGGATGTGACCTCAAAATGAAAGCGGCCCTTTTAGATGAAGTAAATGTGGTTTCATGACAATTCACTGGGTGTCTGTCCTCTCTCTCATGCTCCCAAGCAACAACAACTACATATCCTGGCAGGCTGAAAGATTGAAAAAGTGGGCTAGGTTCTGGATGGCTGGGCAGGGGAGAGGCCATCATAGGGAGTTGACTGGGCCAGCAAGAGGGCCTGGAAAGACCAGGTAGGCCATCTTCTGCTGTACGGAAGGCCTGTCACCTGGCCCTGGGGCCACCCTGAGTCAGGGCAGTCTTGGCATCCCATCTACAATGCAACTTAAATGAACATTTTAGAGATGTTCACTTTTTAGGTGAAAAGGAACCTGTTACGTTCAAGAGGACATTTTGTAAGGAAAGCTCTAATCATGCAACCACAGATTCATAGAAAGTCACAGGTGTCATTTTACTGATAAGGAACCTAAATCCGCAGAGGGAAGCACCTTGGGCTCACCTCCCACACACTCACCACGCATGCAGATCTGTGGAAATCAGAAACGTCAGGGCTCAGGCCCTGTGCGCTTGGTCTGGTGACTCAGACTCCTTGAAGGAGAAGCAACTGTGAAGGTGCCAACCAGGAGAAGTGGGGTGCTAAAAGAGAAATGATATAGTGACCTGACTTGCTCTAGGTCAGAACGGGCTTCCTTGAGAAATCATCATAAGCTCAGACTTCGAGAATAAGCAGAAACCAGCAAGGAGAACTGAAGGAGGAACCACATGTGCAGAGTAAGGAACACTCATCCTTCAAGAAACTCAAAGGCCAGAATGACTAAAACATGGGGAACGGGGAAATAACACACGGTGAGGCTGCAGGGCACAAGGGCCTTCCAAGCCTTGCGAGGAATTTGGAATTCTACAAAAAAAAAAAAAAAAAACAAAGACCAGGGAAACAGATTTCAATGACCCTTAACATTTTCTTTCATGCCCCATTTCAGTTCTGTATGAGGTTACACATTATGGGAGAAGGCTTGTAGAGAAGGAACAGGGGCTTGAGGATCGCTTGGTCCTGGGCTGTATGACTGTTCTGCTCTTTCTGACCATCCTCCTGGTTCTAAACCTTAAGGTTCTTATATTTTGACATACAAACTAGGGGTAGTAATACCAACTCACAGGTTGTCCTATGGATCCCTGGGGAAGATACAGATAAGCATGTAAGACAGTGTACCACCTGTGGTTGGTCTGTCCCCCCCTGCTGTCTGAATGTCCTTCCAGATTCTTCAATAACCTCATGGTTCACATTTTCACTCATACAGAAATGTACACGAATGGCTGGTACCGGATTTGTATAATTTGTAAGACTGTCATAGAAATAAATTTATAAATCAGAATTTTAAAACTCCAAGTGGAGCATGGGCTGTGTGTTTGAGGCAATGTGGTTTGGATCCCATTATTACAATGTGGACCATGCTTAATCGAGAAGTTATATGTGTGGCCACAGTCCTTGAAGCTCTGAGGAGGTTGGTCACTGTCCCTTAGCTGGGTCAGGCAGTGGTCTCATCTTGCAGTTCTAAATTGAGCCTGTACTGCTGGGTCCTTGCCTGTGGCTGTACAAGGTCAACACTGTGCACTGGCCCCCTCTCCCATTCTAGGAGTCCTGGGGGTTGTGGCAGTTGGCAGTTTGAACTCCTGAGTCTCCATGGTTGGGCCACAGGTCTCATCTATACCTGCCACACACTATGCCAACTGTCTATACCCCCCCCCAGGGATTCTGGAGTTAGTGATGGAACCAGTCAGTACTGGCCTTCTGCCACCACAGGGCAATGAGCCAAAGCTGTGGACCACCCAAGAAGACTGGGGCTCCCATGGCCCAGTCCCAGGCATCAATGAAGTTCAGACTTGCGGTATCCCCAGTTATGACCACAGGCCTATGTATGGCCCCACCTACATATAACAAAATTAATAATCATTATTACAATTTTAAACCTTGACAATTTTAATCTTTTGACTTGAAAATTTTGCACACATCCACCATTCAAAATTACACTTGTAATTCCAGGTATTCAAGAGACAGAAACAAGGCTTGGCAAAAGCACAAGACCATATCTGAAAGGCAAAGGGAAAGCAAAAGGACTGGAGGTTGGCTCCAGTGGCAGAGTGCTTCAGGCATCAGGCCCCTGAGTTCAATCCCACTACTGCCAAAAAAATAGAGGTAAATTCAGCAAAATCTTGCCTGAAGGAGATCCTGGAAGGTACTGTGAGTGTATGGGGCCATATTCGGAGGGGAGCAGATGAGAATGGGGTAGGGGTATGAAGAGTCTGTGGACACAAAGGGCCTTCGCCACAGATTGCTTGCCAGTTGAAAGGGGAGGCGCATGTCCTTACAATGGGACACCTGATTGCTACCCCTTTATTTCAGTGGCAGAACTGGGCATCAGATGAGCAGGAAAGTGTGACAATGCACACCGTCACACATCACCAACATGAGTCATTCTAACTGTAGACCAAACGTCCCATCTACACAAGCAGAAGAGATTAAGAAATAAGTTAGGGACTGGTGGAATGGCTTAAGTGGTGGAGTGTCTGCCTAGCATGCATGAGACCCTGAATTCAAACCCCAGTATCACCCAAAAAAACAAGTTAGAAGATGCCACAAAAAATGCAGTCAGACTAAGCTAGCAGGCAGGACACTGGCCTGCTCTCACCCTTAAGCCAGAATTACTGAATGCAGGGTGGATGGGGAAAAACTGCTCAAGACTTTAAAAGACAAGTCAGATGCTCTGGGTATGGGATGTAACTCAGTGGTAGAGGACTTCCTAGCATGCACAAGTTCCTGGATTGGGTCCCCAGCACTAAAAAAAAAAAAAAAAAAAGTGACTATGTTGCTTCTAACAATCCAATTCTAAAAGATGCTGAGGACAGGAAGGGATTTGTTCTTGTTTTTTGTTTTTTTGGGACAGGGTCTCAATGTGTATCCAAGGCTGGCCTTGAACTCTCCATCCTTCTGCCTCAGTCTCCAGTGGACTGGAATTACAGGTGTGCCCAACCACACCTTGCCACAGTTTACTTCACCAGTTTACTTGATATTACACTATGATTTATTTTGCTAGGTGTAATTATTGTATTATTATGATTAGGTAGGAAAATGCTATTCATAAATTTTAGAGGTCCATGACAGAATATTGAGAGTGAACTGTCATTGTGTTTGTCATTTACTTTAAAATAAAAACTGAGACAAAATTGTTTAACTAGGTGATAGGTCTGTAAGTGTTTCATCTCTGCTTTTTCTTTCTTTTTCCTTTTTTTTTTTTGTTTGCCCGTACTGTGATTTGAACTCAAGACTTTGCATTTGCTAGGCAGATGTTCTTACTGCCTGAACCATACCTCCAGCTCTGCTTTTTCTGTACGTTCGAAACCTTTATAAAAGTAAGGTCAAGCTGGGTGCTGGTGGCTCACACCTGTAATCCTATCTACTCAGGAGGTGGAGTTTGGGAGGATTGCTGTCTGAAGCCAGCCAGCAAAAAAAGTTCAGGAGACCTCACCTCAAGCTATCGCTAATAGTTGGATGTGGTGGTACATACCTATCATCCCAGCTACTGTGGAAAGCATAAATAAGAGGATCACAGTCTAAGCAAGCCTTGGCAAAAACTCAAGACCCTATCTCAAAAATAACCAGAGCATGGCTCAAGTGGTAGAGTACCTGCCATGAGTTCAACCCCCGTTACTGCACCCCCTGCACCCTCCAAAAAAGTAAGATCAAAATGGGAGAAGGCAGGCACAAGACTGCAAATCCAGTGTGAGAAACAGTCACCTTAGGTGGCCTCACGCTTCTGGCCCTGGCTCAGCCTCCTCACCACAGGTGCACTGCTCAGCATTCTCCAAGATTAGTAAGGCAGACCCTGGGCATAAAAGTTCAACCAGCTCTGTCAAGCAAATATGCTGTTAAGTAGAGGATGCTCTGTGCTGTGCCACTGTGCCCTCTGGGCAAATGTGACAACAACTAGAAACGCAGACCAAGCAGTCCTTCCATGCTATGCGTGCAAAGCAATGAGCTCTGGAGCTGGAGGCTGTGGAGGCACGGCCTGGAATTGAGGGAACCTGGATCTAGGTTGCAAGTCCTCGCCCCTGGAGCCTGAGTGATGCACTCAGCCCCCACTCTCTCTGGGC